CATTGATTATATGATGTGTGGAACCAGAATCAATGACGAACTCACCATCAGATTCGCTCGAATCTGGACTGCTTGAGTGCTTCACTTCGGTCATGAGACACTCCACGTTGTGAGATTCCGTTCGAGGCTTGTTTCCAGCCTTGGCTCTTGGGCATTGGCCGATGTGATGTCCAGGTTTCTTGCAGTAATTGCATCGGAGGGTTGTCTTCTTGTTTTCTTGCATCGATCTGCTGAAGTTGTTTGCTGTTGATTAGTCATATGACTGTCCTTGTGGCTTCTGGCCGAATCGTGGTTGATTTGATCGAGGCGATGAGTAATTTTGACGGTTCGATGAATTCTGCTGAGGAGTTGGAGCTTGGTTGCTTCTTGAGAAGCGACGGAGGTTGTATCTCGCAACGAGAGCAGTTGCTCCGTTCCTTTCGGAGGTTTGACGAGTGGCTTTCTCGGATTCTCTGCGCGCGTAGTCGGACAGGATGAGTTTTGCGATGTCTGCCAGCTTTCTTCCTGAGGCGTCTAGCTGCGTGAAATTTTGTTTTATCCAGCTGTAAACTGGAGGCAGCTTGTTGATCAGGGTAATGCTGACGATGTCCTCGTCCATTTTCGCGGAGGCGTCGTCCAGCGCCTTCTTCAGTCTTTTGAATTCTGTTACGTTATCATACGCGGTTTTGTCATCGCGGTATTGGAACGCAAAGAAGTTGTGCACAGCGATAATTTTCCTGCTTGCATCTTTCTGAAGAAAATGATCTTCAAGTCTTTTCCAGATTGTGGGGCCACTCACAGTTGTTGAATCATCACTGAAGAGACCTTCGATGAGAGGGGTGTCGAGTGCATTCAAAAGAATGTATCTGGCTGCGATGTTTCCGCGAGTGAAATGCTTCTGTTGCTGTTTGTCGCTTTCGCTTTGTCCATGGTTTGGTTTCAGTTGTGAGTCGACAACTTCCCAAGCGTAGGGTTCGGTTTGGAGAGTCACGGGAATCAGAGATTTCCATGTGGGATAGTTCGATCCATCCTCCAGTAGTTTGGGAGGAGTGAATCGCGAACGTATTCCCTCAGGTTCCGACGTTGAGCAGACTGGAGGAGCTGACCCTGGCTTAGGGTCGTCGGCTACCTCGAGTTTTGCCAGTTGTTCTGCAACGTTCATGTTTCGCGAGGGAGTATGTCGTTACTCACGTTGATTGAAGATCCTCCTTGGTATCGTGGAGTCTCGTGGAAACTTCACTAGATCAGTCGGGATACCAGGAGGAGGACAGAATTCAGACTTCAGAATGACGAGGATGCCTTCTGTGTGGTCACAGAGCAGAGAGTATCTCTATCCATTTATTCGTTGAATATATAGGATGATATCTGTGTCAAGGATCCAGTAGGTAGAGAGAGTGAACGTCCTAGATTTACATCCGGAATTTACCGAGTTTTAGAACTAGGTCTCTGAACTAGAAAAGTATCTGATTGTGTCTATTCAGCAGCTGGCTTAGATATATGCGTCGGAGGTTTCTGACAAACAAGAACAGAGTTCGGGGAACTCCATATTTCAGCAGCCTTCTTAGGTGCTCCCGAGAATCCACCTTCTCATGGCGATCGGTCCAGCCGATAAGAAATCCTGAGAATTCCCGTCTTTCCCTTGATGAAATCTTTGATTCTCGGTGAGAGGACCACACAAATAATTTTTTTATGGTGGGAGGACCCATCACATGAGAACGACGACCCTCATATGACCCTCCTGAAGCTCCCGAGAACCCGCCCCTGAATTTTCACGGCGGCCGGTTCAGGCGTTTGTGAATTCAGCGAATTCCCGATTTTTCAATTTTTTTCCGAGTTTTAGGATTTTCGTGGGTGGAGCACTCAAATAATTTTTTAAGGTAGAAGGACTCAGCGCATCGGGGTACTGACCCCCTATAACAACCGCTGGATCGCCCAGAACACGCTCCTAAATTTTCACGTGCGATCGGTTTGGCCGAGTCTATAGGGTACCCCGGACAGACAGACAGACAAACAGACAGACATACGTTTTTATATATATAGATAGATACCCCACGGATTCCGGCCTACTTCTTCACAGAGTCTTCTCCATGTTTCCTTCGTTGACCTGAGGATCGATCGACTTAGATTTCCCCGGCTCGTACAATACTCCGTGTAGTACCTAGGGCGGTTCTCCGAGCTGGCTCTGAGGAACCTCCTCCGGTTTTCCACACATACTGGGGAGCATGATGTGTCGAGCAGAATAGAAGTGCATTCTCGCCTGCTTTTCTTTCCGAATTCACTGAAAGACACGCCCACGCAGCGATATTTCGAAACGTTCGTTCATACGAGGAACGGTTTGCTAAGGCGGGCCGTCACTTTAGTCCGTAACGCGGAGCCTCTTGAGGGCCTTGTCGTCAAGCTTCCCGATCTACCGCAGAGGTTCCATGAAACTCTAAAGCGATTACATCGTTTCCCGGCATGAATTCTATTCTGTATCTTCGAGACCTCCGCTACGGTTGAAAGTAGGACTTCGAAAGATTTTATCCAGGAAATAAAAAAGTAGGGGCTTCCATGAGAGTTTCAGGTAAACTAGTCGTCGCAAAGGTGAAACCTCCGATATCTGAGTAATTATGAACAGCGGACCCCGAGAAGCGCCACGCAGCCAAGGACGCTGATGCCGAAAAGCTGAATAAAACTTTCAGGGAGCCTAACTGGCGAAAATGCGAAACACCCGATGCTTGAGCGATCAGTGAAGAGATAAAATCGTATCTCGTTGATACCTCGGCTGGAACGATCACACGGAATACTAGTGTCAGTCTTGGGTTCTTCATCAGCTGACTGAGGTTCATTGTCCCTATATCTAGCGAGTCATAGAAAAGGGTTGAGCAAAGTAGACCATTAGATTTTAGGTCAATCTGGAAACACTGTGGACGGATTAAGTGGTGACCGGTCGGTGACCGTCCCAGATCGGGGACTTCAATGTGTAGAGCGAGAGGTGAGATGGACAATACTCATAAACTATCTAGGGGCGGCGATGGACACCGGCTTGTGCTTCTCCTCCGGGAATACGTTGAATATTGGGCATTTATGAACATCTGCTCTCGGGGTCCTTATCCTAAACTTGAAAACGTTAAGTTTTGGAAGCTCCACAACAAACACTCGAGACTACACCGAAGGCACCACCCAACAATTAGTAATAGACAACCAATGCTCCTCGATACCCAAACGCCTAACCACTGGACGAGTATACTGGATATCGTATCGCCGAAATTCGATGGCCGTGGCTGCACTTGTGTCAGTCGCCGGTTTTTCAGAATAGAGAACTCCACAGATAGAGGATGATCCTCTTCACTGGGGTACCCTCGGGAGCTCGAAGATCTCCTTGGTGAAGCTTCGCTGGTACACGGGTTTTCGTGACGATGCGGCAGTCATCGTCCAGTCTATGACGCTACGCAGCCGGATAACAGGCTCCGTAGAATTTCGGCAGAACCATGGTGGTTGATGACGCAATGGGCGCTGGAAAAATGGGCGAGAAATTCTCGAGCCAACGAATTGGAATAATTCGCAGAGAATAGTATAATTGACAAATACACGCTGCATTCCGTAATCGCCAGCGTACGACGTCGTAGTCGAGAACGATAGCGTAGAGTACATGCCCTTTTCTTGGCAACACAGCCCAGAGAAAGTGGAAGAACGGGGCGAAGAGTCTGTGCTCGCCGGGAATGCGCCCGTTCCTCCAATGCGCTCGAGGAAACCCAAGGCGCGCAGGCCTCTCGGGCCATGCGGCATTGGTCGAACGTCACTGGATTCGAATGCGCTCTGCGGCGAAGGGCCATGTTCGCAGCCAATGCGCAATGAGTCGGAAGTGCTTAAGACCTGATACCTAACCATTCTCTCAATGCGATCGAGGAGTCCGAATGCGCGCAGGCCTCCCGGGCCATGCACAATTAGTCGGACGCCACCGGACCCACCCAGCTCGGATCGATGACGCCCAAAGCGCCGAGTCCGCTTTCGGCTTTCGATGATGTTTCAGCGAATGAGCCGGCTGTTCCCCGGAAATAATCGGATTGCCGATCGGCCGAAGACAGCAAGCGCGCTCTCGAATCGAGCACTCATGCAATCCTCATGACAAGTCTGGAAGGCTTAGGTAGATCTTGGTGAAGCAAATGCAGTGAAATGTGGCTCTAGAGGCTCGTTGAATGAGCCATGAGAGCTGAGGGTGTCAGGAGGCAGGAACCGGCGTCACCGAAACTCGGACCCACCCGGATGACGGAATTGCGGATTGGAGTGCGCCCGATGTACTCAGCAGACTTCCCGAAAAAGTTCTGCGGTGGACACTGCTCCGGCGGCGAAGCTCGATAGCGACAGCGTCATCCAGTAGAGGCCAAGATGAGCCGTCTGAAAGCGTCGGTAGAGAGGTTTTCACTAACTGGATTCATCTTTAAGAAGTATTTCGAGGAAGACCAACGTCCGGGAAAGCAAGGAACGAATTCGTGTCGCTGTCGATAAGAATTTTCGGGAACAGACAGTCGCCTTTTGCATGTTAGGGGATGGTATTGGGTACGCCAAAGGAAATCTAGGACTTGGTTCACGCGGTCAAATTACCTCACGATTTATCTTGCTCCGCGAATATCTTTGTCACCGCAAGCCAGAAAGGCCTTGAGTCGTTGATGCGAAACGCTGACGGATTCGTCCGAGAAGAGGTACACGAACCGTCGATCGGCCTTCTTACAAGGACTATGCACGAGGGACGGTTGACTGGTTTTCGGAGACTATTGGCCGCATGAGAGCAAAAGTAGCTCCGCGAATATCGTTGTCATTGCAAGCGGTAAAGATCCTGATGCTGCGGGGGGCCACTTGTCCGCACCAGGGACAGTCGACTTGACTTCGGAGTCACCCGGCAGCACGAGGGACGGTTGACTAGTTTCTGGAGACACTTGGCCCCATGAGAGCAAATGAGAGATGCTGAAGAGAGATGCTGACACATTCGTCCGAGTAGAGGTGTGGTTGGCGTCGATAGGCATCTTGCTCGGAATTCGTCTCACAGTGAATTTCGAGCGTGCGAGGGGGCACTCGTCTCCATAGGGGACAGTTGACTAGTTCTCGGAGACACCCGGCAGCACGAGGGACGGTTGACTAGTTTTTTGGAGACACTTGACCGCATGAAAGCAAGTCGTTGCTGTTGCTGTTGCGCTCGCTAAAAAAGTAATACTATGGCCCGGATTTCAGCAACGAGGACACATGGGGCCACTTGTCCCAGGGAACTTTCAATGTGCTATAGCTCGCCTGTCGTTCGAACACTCAACTCTACGAGAGGACAACTGACCCCCACCTTTGCGTGTGGACTGAGGGGGCGCGGAGCGACCCCTCAGGGTATTCGCAGGCATGACGATCTCGCCCCGCAGGGAACGTACGCCGACCCCGAAATAACACGAAAGCCATCGATGCCTATCTAACCGGAGTCACCCAGCAGCACGAGGGTCGGTTGACTACTGTTTGGAGACGCTTGGCCGCATGAGAGCAAATGAGAGATACTAAGGAGATGTTGACAAATTCGTCTGAGTAGAGGTTTGGTTTCAAAAACTAGCGCGTCTAGCTTGTGGGGGCTGCTTTTGGGGCGAGCCTGGAATCTTAACTTTGGGGCACTATAACTCGAAAACTACTAGCCGGATCGGGCTACTAATTGAGGGAGGGTGCTCCCCTTGGCCCCTAGGACTCGAATCCGGGTTTAACTCGGTTTGACCTTGACAAGGTCACTAATCGAAATATGACCCCAAGGGTCATAAAAAAAACAGATTTTCGAATTTAACACCCTCGACTTATCCAGGGACTTACCCTGCCGGGGGCCCCTTGCCAAGTCGAATTTTTTTCTGGAATTTTTCGAAAAAATTCCCTAGCTAACACCTATTCTTTCTACCTGCTTTGCGCCCGGGGGACCAGTCCTGAACGATACGGTCTTACGGAATTTTTCGGGGAATCTCCCGTTTTCGGGAAAATCTCTCTTGAAAAATTTGCCCTAACTACCACCTATATTTTTCGACTTCTTTACGTCCGGGGGACCAGTCCCGAACGATACGGTCTTACGACTTTCTTTCGGGAAACGTCCCGTTCTCGAGAAAAACTCGCAAAACGGCGCCCGACGGGGGACGGTGGATCTAGCGGTCCGGCGGGGACCCCTACTCACCGGGAAGGCCTCCCAAGGTTTTCGGAAAAAATCTCCTCCGTCGACACTCAACCGACCACCTATACACCGACCAAGAAACGTAAGTTTTTGAACCGATTTCAACGATTTCAACAAATTTCACCGAATTAATTACAATCTTTCGATCTAGCTTTTCACTCTGTGCGGTCTATGAGAGCCAGCAATAGAGTGAGGGAGCGGCGTCGTCGGGCAGGCAGCCGAGCGGTCGCGCATGCGCCGTGGGGTGGAGAGGATCCCGAGCCAGAGGAGCAGCCAAACTTGGCGGGGACACTGTTTACAGTCTGCGTCCGCCAGTCAGCCGCATCGCCGGCAGAGAATCATCGCCACGTGGTCGCCGCACGCGGCTCACTCGGTGCGTTCGTTTTCTTGTTCAGAGAGGTAGTTGGTACTTTGTCGCTCTTCGATCCTGTCCAGGGACTCCTTCGTGATGATGGTGAGTCGGATGAACTCAGCGCTCGCTTCCAGATGTTGTCTTCCGTGATGCGACCACCGGTCAGACGTTTCCATCGTTCCCGTGCTGTGTTGAAATAGCTGCAGCGAAAAATAGCGTGATCTGCATTATCGTTTTCCCCGCTCTCGCATAGGTTGCATTTACCTGATTGAGCCTTGCCGATTCTTTCCAGGAAAGCCCGGAAAGCACCGTGACCTGTTACGAATTGGGTGAGCTCATATGTAAGTTCCCCGTGATCTCTGTAATACCAACTAGCAATATTTGGGATTAGCTTTTTTATACGGGCTCCTCGAGTACCTGCCGAGGGTTCGGCCCAGCTCTCCTGCCATATCATAATGCACTCATCTTCGAAGTTCGTCGCGCTCTGGAGTCCGTTTCTGATGTCTCTCCTTAGTCCAAGTTTGATATTCCAGGGGATCAGCCGTCCGATGACGAGGATACCTTGAGTGTAGACCGTTTTATATGCTCTGCTTACCCTGATGGCGGCTACTCGTTGAGTCTTGGTGAGTAGGTCTCTGATCTTTCGTAGTCTCAACGCCTCGTCCCAGAGTGGTGCCCCGTAGGAGACGATTTGCTCGCTCACTCTCGCTAGGAGTTTTCTCTTACTCTCCTCGGTGTCCGTGGTTCTGGGGAGAATTCTGTTGATATTGTTAGCGACTCTGGCTGCCTTTTGGCATGCCTGAGTTATGTGTTTGACGAACGTGAGCTTCCTGTCCAGCGTGATACATAGGTACTTGACCGAGTCGCTCATTCTTATCCTGTTTCCTCGGTGGAAGAGGTCGACCTGGCGTTTTCTGGAGAAAATTATTGCCTCAGACTTTTGAGGGGCAATTTCTAGGCTTAGTGATTTCATATACTCGTCAACTCGTTTAATGCACTCGTTAGCTCTCCGCTCGATCACGCTTTCGGCTGTGTCTCTGACGACGACAACGATGTCGTCGGCATAACCGATTATCACACATTCATGTGGTAGCTGCAATTTGAAAATTCCGTTATATGCGAGGTTCCAGAGAGTCGGACCGATAATGGAGCCCTGAGGGACATCGGCCGACATCTCTCTCCTCACGCCTCCGCTACTTATCTCTCTGTCCCTGAAATAGCTCTCGAGTAAGGCGATCAGATGTTCTGAGATCTCATTTTCTCTGAGGCTGCTCATTATCGCCGCCCAGCTCAGGGAATTGAGGGCGTTCTTTACGTCGATTAGGATAGCTAAGACCAGCTTCCCGCAGGCCAGGTTCCTCTTGCCGAATTCGTGCTCCACCTGTTCCGTAAGTTTCTTGATCGCTTGGATAGTTTATTTCCCTTTCCTAAAACCGTACTGATTGTCGTGGATTATGCATTTCTCGTCTAATTCCCTCAAGAGTCGTTGGTTCAGAATGCTCTCTAATGACTTCCCGAGAGTGCTCAGGAGACATATCGGTCTGTATGAGTACGGTAGCTCGGGTGGTTTACCTGGTTTCTTGATGAGGACGACGTCAGCTTTTTTCCAGGACTTCGGGAAAGCTCTGGCCCGGAGGATTTCGTGGATAACGTCCTTATATTCTTTCCTGAAATGTTTCAGAATGAATTTGGCTACCTTACCCGGGATCCTGTCCGGACCCGGCGCTTTATTCGGTGCGATTTTCCTCATGGTGAGCTCGATCTCTTCGTCCGTGACTTCTTCGATCTCCTGTATCCGTGTCCAGTCCGTGCGGGTCTGCCTCTCCAGAGCGCGGTTCGGTAAAAGGGTGTCTAGTGTCGCCCGGAGCATGTCGTTTGGTGGTGCTGTTTTGGGAACGTATAGCCTGTTCATGATGATCTTATATGCCATTCCCCATGGGTTTCGGCCAACTTCTTCGCATTGCTTCCGCCACGTTTCCTTCTTCGAGCTGAGGATCGAGCGATTTAAGCTATTTCGGCTGATTCGATATTCCATGTTATACCTAGGGCGGTTTTCCGGGCTGGCCCTTAGAAATCGTCTCCGGTTTTTGACGCATACCCGTCTCAACTCGGCGATCTCTTCGTTATACCAATAAGCTCTTTTTATCCGTTGCGATCGGTCGAAGGTTGCAGCTGTACAGGCATTCCTGACCTCCTTCGTGAAGACGCCGGGTGTGGGGTTTCTGACTCGGAGCATTCTTTCGAGTTCTTGCGTGCATATCTCGAGGTCCAGCTTTTTCTCGATGCGTGGTCTGTTCCCCGCGTCGCTTTGCGTATCTCTTGTTATCTGAACGGAAATGTAGTTATGGTCGCTCAGCGAGTCTAGCTCACCGAGGACTGTCCCGTGCTTGATTTTTGTCTTGATCCGATCGTTCGTTAGGGTAAGGTCGAGATAACTTTCCTGTGTGCCCCTCAGAAAAGTAGGCTTTTACCCATCGTTGTGAACTGTTAGGTTATATTTAGCTATAAATTCTTTTAGTATACGCCCTCTGGCGTTAGCCCTTTGGCTACCCCATAGGGGGGATGCGGAGTTGAAGTCTCCAGAGATGAGAGTACCTTGGCCCCTCGGTTGAGACTCCAAGCTTGTGCCCAGGCTGCCGAGGAAATTTTCAAACTCGGTTATGTCTGTGTTGGGTGAGATGTAACAGCTATAGAAAATAAAATCGGCGTGTGTTTGCCAGACGAACCCGTTATCTGATTCTTTTGCACCAGCTCCCGAGTTACCGAGGAGTCTGGTTGCTGCGTCGTTCTTTAGGTCAGGGGACCATCTTTCGTCTAGCTTATTTACATTCGGCTCTGTGACTAAGAGAACGTCCGATTCCAGTTGGATGGCTGTGTTCAGGGCGAGCTCGTGGGCGGCTCTGCTCCTATTGAGGTTGATCTGTAGGATTCTGATCATCGACGATATTCGGGGGGTTTCTGTTCTCTTCGGTTTTCTTCGTTCCCTTCAGCTTGTCGTTTATGAACTTGCTGTACATCGGGCAGTCCGTGGAGATGGCCTGATGCCCAGGGGCCTCAAAGGTGTTACACCAGGGCTCCTGGTCGCACTTGGCCGCCTCATGGCCTTCCTTGGTGCATCTGTAGCAGCGTATACTATCGGATTTCTTTTCTTTGCATTGATGGCTGGTGTGTCCAGCTGTAGCGCGAATGGCGCGTAGATTTTTTGCGTTATCCGGCACGAATTCCAGCCGATTCGGATGCGCTTGTTCTTAATTAGCCATTGGCCGGCCCTCTTAGGGGGCGTGACTGTGCTCGTCCATGCACCGTTCCTCGACTCCTTCGGTTCTCTAACCTGTATTTCTCCTTCTTCATCAGTTTCCTCGCGGATCTTTTTCTCAATCTCGTCGGTGGTGTTCGTTTCCTCCAGATCGTGAACTATTATCTGGATTCTGGCGCCCTTGCGAACTTCCACGTAGCTCCCCGTCGCTTGATTTATGTCCTGTTGGAGGCGTAGGCGCGCTTCCGGGTTGCCTTCCCGGATCTTGACCGCGACGTGTCCGTCTTTCGTTTTCGATACCTTTTGGATCTTCACTTCTTGTTTCGAAGGGTCAATCGAAGCCTTCATGGCTCTGACGATTTCGGCGTATGATTTCCCTCCCTCGTTTGTGACGACTAGGGTTTCGGTATCTGATTCGTTGCTTCTTTTTATCTTCCTTCCCTTCGCGCAGAGCTCGGCTCCTGCGGAGTCGACCGCGAAGCAACATTCCAATAGTTTCAGAGCGGTCGTGACGTCGACGGAGTGCGTAATGTGCATCGTCAATTTCTCGGTTTCGGATTCCGTGGATAGCTTATTGACGGCGATTTGTAGCGCCTTGGCTATGTTAGCTAGTGATGCCGACTCCGTTTTCATAAGAGTCAGAGTTCGTTTGGTAGGCGATGTCGAGAGGGCTGTTGTCCCCCCCTCCTCGATGATCTCCTCCCTGAGCGAGTTTTATCTGTATCGGGGTATTAGGCGGTTGTTTATCGAATCTGTCGGCGAGTGCCGGGTATTGGGTCCATAGTTTTCTCATGACATCTCGGTCCTTTGCGTTTTTGGCGTCGATCACCAGAAGCCGGACAGAAGTCAGTGATAGGATGCTTTTGACTGTTGTCTTAGCTTTCCTGAAACAGCTCCTGTCCCAATTTAGCGAAACGAGCTTCGCTACATCTTCGGAGGTTTTCATGTCATCTATTCTCTCATCTAGTTTCGCGGGAGCCAGGGAGGATTTCTCCTATTCTAACTCCTCAATCCTTTTAGTCAACCTACGAATTTCTTGTGCGTCCTGGATCATTCTATCATCTAGACTCCTAATAATCTCCTCTTTATTTCTTAATTCAGCCTCCCGCGTCGCGTAGAGAGTCTCATCGTTTCGGGCGCGCGAGGTTCTCATAGTCAAGAGACTGGTAAGTTCCCCAAGTTCCCCCTTAATTTCTTCGATCTTATTCTTAATTCCCTTCTGGGTGTTCGGGCACTGCTTTATAGCTTGCTCGTATAGAAATTCAATCCCTCCTACGATCCCATTGACTACCCCTTCTAAGCTAGATGAAATCTTCTTTTTCTCATCGCTAGACTTGCTATTCGGAGAATTCTCCGCTGAAACCGACTTTTGTCTCTTCCTACTCAGATTAGATTCATCTATTGCTAAGCTATCTTGTTCCATTTGTTCTAGTCCCTCGAGGCCCGTACTGGGAGCGGGGTCGCTCCTTTCCTTAGGTGACCTAGCAACCTCAGAACTACGACGAAATATACCCTCTTCATCCTCCTGCATCGTGTCCTGCAGCTAGGGTTCGCCTGGCAAGGCGTGTTTCTCGTGCTTAGTCTGTTTAGTGGAAGAAAATTGACGAGACGCGTTTTTTTTCTACCACAAACGCTTTTTTATTAGCGCGTCTAGCTTGTGGGGGCTGCTTATAGGGCGAGCCTGGAATCTCAACTTTGGGGCACTATAACTCGAAAACTACTAGCCGGATCGGGCTACTAGTTGGGGGAGGGTGCTTCCCCAGGCCCCTAGGACTCGAATCCGGACTTAACTCGGTTTGACCTTGTCAAGGTCACTGATCGAAATATGACCCCTAGGGTCATAAAAACCAGATCGGACACCAGTCCCGAACGATACGGTCTCACGACTTTCTTTCGGGAAACGTCCCGTTCTCGAGAAAAACTCGCAAAACGGCGCCTGACGGGGGACGGTGGATCTATCGGTCCGGCGGGGACCCCTACTTACCGGGAACGCCTCCCAAGGTTTTCGGGAAAAATCTCCTCCGTCGACACTCAAACACCGACCAAGAAACGTAAGTTTTCGAACCGATTTCAACAAATTTCACCGAATCAATTACAATCTTTCGATCTAGCTTCTCACTCTGTGCGGTCTATGAGAGCCAGTAACAATGTAAGTAACCTAACCTTTTTTTTTTTCTTGATCGGGTCGTGACCGAGCCTATTTCCATTCATTGCACCGTCCGCTACAACCTATCTACAGTTACAGCTTACTGGCGTCCCGCTCCCTGGCGGGGCCCATAAGGACGGTACACAGTGCAACCCCCCCGACCGACATCCGAGTCATTACATCAGGGGGGTGCTGGAATTCCACCTACAGTGTTCTTCGGCTCTTCCTGTGCCTCTCCAGTGTCTCCTTCGTACTCATCACCTCGCTCACGAAGTCCACCGCGGCGTCCCAGTGCTCCCGGCTCTCCATCATGGCTGCCACCAGTTCTTCCGGCTCGTCCATTCTTCCTACCATACTCTGCAGCTTTCCTCTCTCGTATGCAAAGCAGTCGCACTCCATAAGTGTGTGTTCTGCAGTGTCGGGTCATGCATAATAGGCACTCCGGGCTGGCGACCTTCCTCCATCGGTGCAGGTATTGTTGAAAGCACCCATGGCCAGCGAGGATCTGCGTCAGGTGATAGCTGACCTCGCCATGCTTCCTCGTGCTCCACTCCTTGACATTCGGGATCATCTGCCGCGTCCATTGTCCCCCTTCTACGTCCTCTCGTTGCCACTGCTCCTGCCACTCCGTTAGTGTATCCTCGCGTCGTTCCTTCTTCGTCTCCCTCAGTGTGGGGTCCGTTTGCTTTCGGTCCTCGTGGCGGCGGATCCTTTCTTCAGCCAGAAGGTGCCATGGTATCTGGTACCGAGACTCCATGGTATCTGGTACCGAGACTCCATTGGTGTCAACGGTTCTATATGCGCGGGAGATGCGTATTGCCATTCCCGTTGCACACTCAAGAGCCTGTTGACATTTCTATCCTTCTTCAGTGCGCCTTCCCATACCGGTGCAGCGTAGAGTGCGATAGACGTCGCTACAGCTGCCAGAAGTCTTCGCTTACCCTCGCCCGCCCCTTGCGTCCTCGGCAGGATGCGTGCCAAAGCGGTCACCGCGCTTTTTGCCTTACGGAGCGCATACTGGATATGCGGGGCATGGGTGAGTCCTTGATCTAGGACTACCCCCAGGTATTTTGCCTCTCTCTTCGTCTCAACGTTTGCATCCCTTAGCTTCAGCCCCACCAGAGGGTCGACCTTCTTGTGCCCGGTGAGGAGAATTGCCTCCGTCTTCTCCGCCGCAAGCTCGAGCTGTTGACCCTCCATCCATTGGGCGACTTTTTCCATGGCGACATTCGCCCTCCTCACAAGTTCCCTCTCGTTCTTCGCCTTGACGATGATCCCGAGATCATCCGCATAAGCGATCGTCTCCACGTCTTCCGGCATCTCCAGCTTCAGAACCCCATTGTCCGCTACGTTCCACAGCGTCGGTCCCAGGATTGACCCTTGCGGGACTCCCGCCGTCATGCTGAGCTTTTCTCCCGAGGCCGTGACAATGCTTCTATTCTTCAGGTAGTCCCCGATCACTCTTCTGAGGTAAGGCGATATTCCCACCTCCTTCAGTGTTCTCATGACCACCTCCCAAGGCATTGAG